CTTCCTCCTTCCTTCTTTCCCTTCCTTTCTTCTCCAATCCCTTTCCTTTACCTTCTCCCTCCAACTACTGGACTGGTAGATGCCTCGTGAAAATACCTCTGGACCCTCGCAGTGAGAGCACGTCTGGTTGACAACAGCCCCGTAACCCAGCGCTTCAGTAGCGCGTACAACGCGATCGATGCGCATGCTTTCGACTGCATCGATCGCGTCGAGTGCGCGACCGAAGCGCTGCCGTCGCGAAGTCTGAACGGAATCTTAAACGGGTAGGCGACAGCGATTGGTGGAAAACGACTGGTACGAACGATAGGATGCAGTCTCGCCGCTTGCTCGATTCAAGAACTGGCTGAAAACAGGTCTGCCACCGCACCGAATCTACCCCTCCTGACACGCCCCATCATCCGTAGCGAGCAAGACTGTACACATTTTAGAACTCTGTTACATACCAACAACCTAATGTACCCGTGAATATGCACACGGCTGCATCTGCCATCAGCTAATCCGCCACACGGGTACGCAGCTTGACCACACCCAACATATGTGGCGCCCTATAGAAGCCGGCTCAACACTCAGCTCGATTTTTATTATACTGTCTTATTATTATTCCTTTTCTATTCAGCTCAATGTAAACCTCATTTCGCGGCGAAGGCGGAGTTGAAGGGGAGACGACCCATATGTGGCGCCCTATAGAAGCCGTCTCAACACTCATAAAGCTCGATTTCTATTATACTGTCTTATTATTATTCCTTTTCTATTCAGCTCAATGTAAACCTCATTTCGCGGCGAAGGCGGAGTTGAAGGGGAGATGGGCAAGAGAATCGTAATTTGCCGCGCCGTCGCCCGGGTCCCTGGCCCATCGGCGATCGCGGGATGTCTTCAACGTGGGCGTCACGCGGCGATGGGCGCGGGTATTCAAGCAGTTTTTCGATTGGAGCAGCGAGCTCTTTGAAATCGTTGCACATTGGCCGTATTCAGCTTATACCTAAATAATATAATACGGCCAATGTGCAACGTGCGACTGTCGCTAACTAACGTCAGAACCGCATGCGGCTGTAACACCCCTTCCCGTCCCTTTAATATTCAAATTCGAATGCTAGGCGGGTGAACTCGTCGCTCGCCACGCCAGCCAGCACGGCAAATTACGATTCTCTTGTCTACGCTCGAGTTGAAGGCCACTTCGCGAGTGCGGCATCAGATAGAGGACCCAATATCTCTAACGTGGAGGGCTAGAGTATTTTAAAGTACCTAGCTAAGGATTACCAACAGTACCTTCCGAGCCCTTCTCTATCAAGCTGAAGCTGCTAATACTCCCTAGATAGAAGATGAGGGATAAAGCCTTCGCTTCTGATCAGTCCCTTCTGTGATGCGGCACGCATTCTACTTCCAATCAGATCTGTAGCGACGGATCAAGTGCCATGCCGCTTATAGCTTTCGGTGGCCAACCGATGTACAGGCCAGTGTTCCTACACTCCCAGACAAATCTGGTACCAGTTTATCGCCGCGGGAGAGTAGAAGGCTTTGGCCTAGGCGGTAGCCGATCCAGCATCTGAGCCACAGATCTCGCGCGTGCTACTTTCCACTGCACCACCTCTGCCTCCTCCCTAAGTAATGTTTTCTATTCATCAAGCCCTCCATGTTGTGGTCACACTCCCTAACACATTTGGTTGAGAAATCCGCCGTAATCCTGCTCTAGTCCCGGCTCTTACCACCAGAAGGAGATGGTTGCTGAACAACCGACTTCGCAAGTTTTTCCTCTTACCACAGCCCAGAACAAGGCGTCCAGCTGATCGAAGCTCTCAGGTGGGGCCTGCTATCTCCGATCGTCCATGGGACATTGAACAAGCATCCTCCTCTCACGTAGCCCGAAGAAAATATTGATGTCAAAAAAGAAAACACAGGCTGACACCAAATCCACCCCGGCACCATTTTACATGTTATTTTCATCAAGAATTCACCCGTCCGGAAATCTGTCGTCTCAGCGCTCGTTAGATATCTAGCCGGTGATGATTCAATGTGTGTAAGAACCTGGTTCAAGCTCTCACGAAATCGAATGTGGACCTTCTGATCTATGACGAATATGAAGATATCCCTGATGCTGCGTTTATACTTTGCGGCAGCGTAGCGTAGCGCTTCCAGCGTACGCCAGCGGCAGTGTCGGGGAAAGGATAGGTATCGATCTAGCGTTCCCAGCGCCACCAGCGTACGCTAGCGTAACGCTAGCGTACGCCAGCGTAGCGGGGATGTATAGGTATCGATCTAGCGCTACCAGCGTTTCACGAGCGTTTCGCTAGCGCTTGCAGCGGCAGGGCTAGAGAGTGTAGAAAAGTAGGAGCAGGGCACAGCGTTCGATGGGGATTCCCTATGGGGGGGGGTCGTATTTGGCCGCCAAAAGGGGGGGGTCGTATTTGGGCTGGGAAAAATTTATTTTTATAGTTGATTTTTCTCGCTTTGCGGACGTTTTGGAGGGGGGGGGGTCGTATTTGGTCGTTGTTGGGAGGGGGGTCGTATTTCTGGCTAGGAGTTACGTGGTTCACTTCATGAGTTTTATGAATTTTCTGTGTTATAGGTACTATGTACGCCCGTACGATGTACGTCGCATGCCTACTACATACCCGGGAGTCGCACCCCGGAAAAAAGAAGGGGGGTCGTAAAAACTCGACCAAAATCCCCATCGAATGCTGTGCCCTGAGTAGGAGAGTACAAAATACCCTCCTACTCCTTCGATACTCTCTAGCGTAGAAGAGTTTTGTACTCTCCTACTCTTCTATACTCTCTAGCGTAGGAGAGTATTCTGTACTCTCCTACTCTTCTATACTCTCTAGCCCCGCCGCTGCAAACGCTAGCGAAACGCTAGTGAAACGCTGGAAGCGCTACGCTACGCTGCCGCAAAGTATAAACGCAGCCTAACCTTCCTGCTCCATCGGAATCGCACACCCGATTCCCTCCCCAAATTCTGCGAACCAGACGTTTAGTACATTGCCCACTCAATGAGTGTTGAATAATCTGATGCGTGTACTAACCTGGTTGCGTAGCGTACAGTCATATTAGTTGCGGTCTTCTTCGCTGCAGGGACCGTATGCTATACTTCCCTTCGAGAGGACATATCCCCCAGCAAACCTCCGCTCTCTGCCGATACCTCTATCAATGCTCCTTGTATCTCTGCATCTACCTCTCTGCATCTTCAATGCTCCTTGTATCTCTGCATCTGCCTCTCTGCATCTTTGCTCCCCCACTTTCGCGAAACGTCCCCCAACGACATGTGCTGGGGGACAGGGGAGAATATTGATTATACTCTGCGCTGCACTATATTCGCACAGAGCGTGCGCCAGAAGAGTATGGATGCAGAGCGGCGAGAGCCAGAGAGATAAGGGGTGTTGAACCGATCAAGCGACAACGGTTCGTGGAAAGCGACCGATACGCGATATGATACAGTTTTGTCGTCTGCCCAAAGAAAAAACAGGCTGGCACTACGCCAAACCCACCCCCTCCCCCGGACACGTCCTATCATCCGCAGCGAACGACTGCAGAAAGAAAGGTGAGATCTAGGAGGCGTGCAGAAGGCCTTCTCCATTCATGGATAAACTTTATCACAACTCAAGCCGTTCTCTTTTTCGTGTTCTTACAAACATATATCGCTAATCACATTTTTATTTCTAGGTCTAAGTGCACTTGACTGAAGAACGAGTTGTACACAAGCAATACGAATGATAAAACAGCGTTCGTATCTAGTGCCGAACAGGAGATCTGGAAATCTGCGCACAGAAATGGATACGTGCCGATGAGGAGAATCGGGATGTACGCAAAGCAACTACGCACAGATTGATCACGGGCGTTATGGGAGAGCTGAAGACTTGAAAAAACGAAGAATCCGCGACAAGGAAAGTGCATGTAGCGATCTAGAGGATCGAAAAGCGGAAGAAAAAGGAACAGATACAGA